CTATTATTATTATTGTGCCTTTTTTCCGCTTCCAAAAAAAGTTGGAAAAACTTGATTGAAAAGAGGTAGTTCACATTTAATCTCATTCCTACCATCCTAATACAGAAAAAGAAATAAGTTAAACATTTTCATTTTTTATATGCCAAAAAAACACTTGGAAAAGAGATGATTTTTTTCTTTTATTTTCAGAGTAACGATAGTGAAAAACCGACAATTTTTTATCACCAAAAAATAACTGACTATCACCAACTTTCGTTGCTATTGTCGCTTCTTTGATTAATCTTTAAAAAGAAAGAGACCAACAGAACAATTAAATTTTTTTACCTTTCAGTACCTTCATAAAAGCTCTCCTTTACTGGGAAAGAGAATAACGTAGTCGAGAGAAAGACCGAAAAAACGCAAGCAAAAAGGATTAGAATTTCTCTAAATAAAAAATGATAATAATTGGCAAAAGTATAAAAAAATCAACTGAGGAACATAGTCTTCTTACGTGAAAAAGTGATAACATATTTTGCAACGCCAAAGAAAAAACCTAAAAGGTAATAAAAAAAAAACAAAAACGAGGTTAATTTTAGAAAGTAGAAACGAATTAATTTGTGTCGCACCATTTCAAATCGTCCAAAGGCAAAAACAGCGACTAAAAACGAAAGATTAAAACTTCAAAATTTTAATTAAAATTTTGTAAGTTTAAATCTTCAGAGCTCTCACATATGATTAGGACATTTCAAAGGTTTTCTGAAAAATAGAACTGTTACTAACTATAAATTTGCATAGCAGTCGTGTCTGTCAACAATATAGCAGAAGTACACTTCAAACCGTCGCTTAACTTGAAACGATGATTCAACAGCATCCAAGCACTATGAGAATTGATTTCTGATAAAACTTGACCTTTTCAAACTCATCACAGTAGGTTCGCACAAGCTCTATATTAAGAAAACGAAAAAATCTGATTTCAAAATCGCATTGAACAACTGACAAAATTCAAGCAGTAATGGTAACAGGTACAGAAACAAAAAATTCGGCACTAGTAAACTAGCATAAACAACACAGACTACTACAAATTCACTGTGACCTGAAAAACTGAACAAGAAAGCGATCAATCCGTATTTAACAGAACGGTATTTGTCGCTCTACTACCTGTTCTTAGAAGCAGCTTCTGCTGAACGTGTGACTAGCGAAGATATCAATGAGAGTACCTCAAAAATGAAAAAAGCCATTTTTCTAAGCCGTGCAAAAAACTTCTTTTGTGGTTGGGCTTATCGTTATCCGGAACTAACAATTCTACAATAAAGGCAGAAAAGACTTAGTTCTCAAACAAAAAATAGTTAACTTCTGTTTGAAAAAATTTTAGTTGACAATGGTTCTCTACTGTTTATTCTTTTATTCTTTCTTCTGCATCCTTTCGACCTTTGATGCACCTTCCCTTCTGTGTTTTTATCAAACAGTACTTCAGAAACATGTAAACTGCAGTGTCTGCAGTGTGCGCACCAATTAAAAAAATTGCTCTTTTACATTCGTTTAGCAATCCAAGAACCATTACCACTCTTTTGAAAGCCTTCCACACCGAAAACTATCTTTTGACTTTCGAATTATGTTTGCTTCACGTTATCACTTATTCCACTCCCTGCGAAAACAAATGCAACATCATTCCCATCAAAAATGTTTATTCATTAGATGAAAACTATACTGCACTACTGCTTTTTAAACTTATATCACCTATACGCAATAACAAAGCACCATCTACTTTGTAACACGTACTATACAAGAACACCTCTCATGACGAAACCATAAAAGCACTGATCACCTCGCTCGCACTACGTCCACCACTGAAGGATGCTTCTTTTACGACAACGAACAAGAACCTATCTTGAGTACCAACGTATACCACACTGCTCAATCCCAAAAAAGCTGATTACACAGCAGATTGGCACTAATCCGCAGTTATGCCTGGAAAATCACGAACAAAAACTAACACAAACAAACCCCCCCAACCAACACCCCGCCTGTCGAGAAAATATGGGACATCTCTAAATTTAAAACCGAAGACCCCCAGCATTTAAGTGGCCAGTTGATACTGGCTTTTTAAAACAACTGATTCCGTACCTTTCAAGTTACCCAACTAAGAGGTTAGGATAGCGGAACGAAGACACCAGATTTTCAGATAAATAAACAATTCCTCCAATACACCAACTTACAATCCGACAATCGCTGCTAAAAAAGCTCAATTACACGCAAGTAAAAAATACACCGCAATCCAAGCGCAATATTTCAAATGCAAAAAAGGGAAGAGAACTCAATGACTTGTCTACCAAAATAATAATCTAAAAGTGAAACATTTGACATCAAAGCCTAGAAAAGTTAAAACAGATAATCGACTTTTATTCACCAAGCATTTGCCTTGAACAAATACTACTCAACATACCCTTCGAAATATCTCTGAACAACGTCGGTTTCACAGTGAGCAAGAAAGTCATCAATTATTTCTCGGAGGCATCTATCTCGCGAAAAATAACAATAATAATAATAACGATAATAAGAATAAGAATAATAATAATAAAAATTACCCAAAAACTCCGAAAGTGCGCAATCCAAAAAAGAAAAAAAAAACAAAAAACAAAAAGGAGAATTTAGTAAACACGACGAAATTGAACAGAATAGCTGTTTTTACAGGACGGTTCTTCCGTACACTGAAATTAATGCACCTTTTTCACAAGTAACGATCTTCTAAATAAAACCGAAAAGCAGACTCAAGAAAATTATTTAGTGAATTCCACACAACAATTCCCAATCCATTAGGCATAAAGATATTACTTTAAGAACGCGGGACTACTATCATCCACCATCAATCATACACAATAAACAATGATGAGAACGAAAGAAATAAAGTAATTAAATTAACGAAAATCAGAATTATTTCAAACATTCTCAACTTTTGGAAAGTTGATTTGCCAACCAGTCCAATCCCTCATAAAGGCCATGACCTTGAGTAGCACAAGTTGCTTGAATATACCACTGAAAAAATTTATATGTAAAATCTACAAAAGTAACAAGTTCTTCATTTCCCTCACACTGTGAAATAAAACTAACAAATGATAACGTTCCAATTACCTGTCGTGAACGAAGATTATGAAGACCAAGTTTATCCGTAAGTTCTGCAGCACTCATGGCATTTGGCAAGTCCTGTTTGTTAGCAAAAACAAGCAAAGTAGCGTCTCTTAATTCATCCTGAAACCAAAATAAACAACTAATAGCTTAGTTTCAAACGGTCAAAGCCGATGTAAATTATTATTTAAAGACTCATTGAAAACCAGAGCATCCTCCATGACAATACCTGATAAATCACTCATCACGAACCAGGACCTCCACGCGCCTTCGATAACCTACCTACTGATTCTGTTACGCAAGCTCATTTCTAATTTCCACCTTTTCCACATACCTTCTAGTGTGAAACGATTTAGAATGTACAACCCATGAAAAGCGCAAGAAAATGATAAATTCAAACGAAAAAAATGCTACAGTGCGTTGGAACCTAGAACCATAAACGACAAAAAAAGACTATTAGCATCAATAAGCCCTAACCAGTTGAACAGGACGAAGGAATTTACTTGTGACGAACAATGTATAGCAAAAAATTAGAAAAGAAAAAATGACAGGCACGACGTGTAAAAAACAACAAAACCACGACTCAGACTTCCCAATAAAAACCACGAAGCATAACTAGAAGGAAAAGTGGAGAAGACTCACTTCATTAAGCATTTTGTGCAACTCTTCACGACTTTCTTCAATTCGTTCCCTGTCGTTGCTATCTACAACGAATATTAATCCCTGCAACAGAAGCCATACAAAAAATGTCGTAACCAATCTATTCTTTAGTAAAACACACTCGGTAGAACCAACCTGAGTATTTTGGAAGTAATGCCTCCACAAGGGCCTGATTTTATCTTGCCCACCAACATCCCATACAGTAAAAGATATGTTCTTGTACTCAACTGTTTCTACATTGAATCCTATAAAAAAATCCATCACAGAAACCAAATCAAAATAGATCAAAACAGCTCTTCAACTAGAGTTGAAAAGACGAGAAGTACTTCAAAAACATGAAATCTAAATCTATATCCTGACTTCAGAGAAAGAAATCCCCAGAAGAGCAGAATAATCAGAGGTAAATGAATGCTAAATGCTAATAATTAAATAACTTAATAAATACTAACAATTTTTAAAACTACATTACACGTACAAACAATATAAAAATAAACCAGATAAACACTTATAAATTTCAATTATTTTATAATGGTAAGAACATTCCTGACAAACTTAAAAACAAAAAAATTTTAAAAAATATATGCAATAAACATCTTACCAATTGTTGGAATAGTTGTAACAATTTCACCAAGCTTCAATTTGTACAATATAGTTGTCTTTCCAGCAGCATCGAGACCAACCATTAAAATACGCACCTGTTTCTTTCCAAACAACCGTCCAAAAAGACCCGAAATTGTCAATCCCATTATTGCGTCGCCTAAAAACTATAAGACTGAGCAAAAATCTCTCAGGATAAAAAATTAAATTAACTCGTCGAAGTGGTAACAAAAATAGATAAAAATTGCGCTACACGATAAAGCCTGAAGCACATAAATATTAATTAAGCATTCTTGTTTCTTCTTTCAATACTCATTTTAAAATCACAAAATCCATGTATTGACAAAAAAAAGAAATTCACTTCACAGGCCATGCGAGGAAAAAAAAACCATGCAAAAAGAAGGTTGCAAATATGATTACATAAACGAAAAAAGGAAAGATGAAATTGGCTGCGCCGCTACCACCATAAGAACATCGCTTATTTTTACTTACAATTACGATTGTCACAAAACTGAAGCTACCCACCAACTTCTTTAGAAATTACACATATATTTTGAAAAGATGCCCTCAAACGTGAGTTATATTCATATAACGTAGTGGGAACAAAATAAAAAATCATCGACCACAGTGGCCAAAATAATGTAGATCAACTGGCAAACGTCCAACGCCACTTTCCTTTTCCTGCTACTCCAGCTTCCCTTCCTCCAACTACGTTACCTCAACAACCAAAAAATCCTCTCATTCCGTAAAAATCATAGAAATCCGTGAAGTTGAACAACCTCAACTGCATAAAATTATTCAGCAGGCATTAGGACTAACTCTTTCCCCAATGAGTTCAATACATAAGAAATGAACGAAAAAAAAAATTTCCCCGGAATTGTCCCTTATTTTTTGTTTTGAAGTCACAATACAGAAACCTAAAAGCGATAAGCAACAAAACAAACTTTTACTAGCGCTTAAGTGATTAACCAACATTCCATTCTTTGGTCAGAATTACCTCCTGCCTTTCGTAATAATTTCACAAAAACTGCTTTTCTGTATTTCTGTTACACTTACTTAACAGCCCAGATCTCCAGCCTCCGGAATGTGACCATAATTCTATTTCACAGTTCATTAATTTATGCAGTGACTCACTGACAAATTAGCACCAACAGTTCGTTGGGACCAAAAAAGATCGTGTACTTATAAATGCAAAAGTTGCTCTCGAATCATCCAGTGATAGACAGCAATCGAATATATTTTTAAAAAAAGGTTAGGGACTATAATTAGATAATACTATTTGCATGACGGCAAAAAAATTAGAAACTTTGACCGGCATGACCAACAAGAAAGATTATAAACTTCAACGACAAATGAAACTTGCTAAATTTTACAACAGTGCTCGTCCCAAAAGCTGAAAGTAAACCTCTCCAATTCATCAATTTTTTTTAGAAGTCTCAAACAGTTATTCAAACTTTCATTTGACTGCATTGCTCCACGTAACTGTCAAATACATAGAAGTTCCACGTTGTGTCGCCGTCATCAGCTGTCGAAAATGCCACACAACATTGAACAATGGTATATGCTGTAAGCAGAGTAATTCGCCGTAACATACGAAATCTAAGAAACTTGCAACGGCAAGTATACCTGCTTTCGCTGTCCAAATAACGCACGGTTAAATAGACACTAGTAATTTAAAAACTCTAATCAACAATTACACACACGTTGAAACAATATCTGATCAGTATTAACCTCACTTTGTCATAGAACAGTGCAAAACTCAATTGCAACATGCAGTACTACATTAGTAACTTTAGAGGAATGAATAAGCAATAGCCGAAGCAAATAGTTGTTACTGGGACACACTGATTATAAAAGTGAAAATGAAGCACCAGATTTAAAACAACATCAAAAAATCTACAAGAGTGACGACCGTAGAACTGCGGATCTAGCCCTATATTACTCAAAGAAACTAAACAGTGACGGCGACCGAGTGTCGCTGAGTAAAATCATAAAAATCAGAGAAAAAAACGCAGCCAATGTGGACAATAACTGGAACGTTGGAAAATCTGCTGTCGACATGAGATATGCCGATCGGCCACGTATTTGGTTTCTCTCCTTCCTTCTTCATCATCGTCGTCATCAGCTGCATCAGCATTCAGCATCAGTACCATCATCACACGAACAGACACAAACACAATTACGCATACACATATATATACGTATACAACCGACAAATACACAAATACACGCACATTTCCGTACACACCTTTTGGCAAATCGCCGCACAACGACTTCCAAAATCGATTAACTACTACCCAAATATGGGGCTCCAATAAGCCCCCTGTCTCTGCCGCATTTTCATAATAGAATACCATCACAGCAAGATTATTTACAAATCATCTGTACAGTCAGTCCAAACACACAGACTATTAAGATCTGGAAATAAAAAAAGAATGAAAAGCAAACACCAACTATAACTATAGAATTTTTTCATTTTTCTCCTTTCAAACATCATTTTAAATAGGCTTTTTTAAGTATGAAGTCAGTGTAATTAATACTGCCGCCTTTGTTTTCCTTGCATTTCAATCATTTGTAAGATTTTAGTCTGATCAACCAGACTCGCTTCTGTTAAGCCCGATAACTGAGTGAAAAACTCAAACAAATCTACTTAAAGTAATAACCGCTTAACGGCAACTAGATAAACAACTCTTATTTCGTAGCTTTCTTAAATCAACCAACGTAAACAAAGATGGCAACAATGACTACGATGATGACAACGATAATGATCCCTTTCTAATGTCAAAAAGTAATTAGAAACACTTAATCCCGCAGTGATCTTACTTGGCAATAAAGCAAATTCAATAAAATTGTATATACAAGAAAACCCAACTACACCTTATCTCTTAAGTTTCAAACAGCTATAGTCCAAGTAAAAGAAAATGCCTGCCTATACATACTGTATCACGTTTGATGATTATTTACGGAATGACTTGTCCGACTAGATGAGAACACGTCATCGACAACTGATCATTTCCTACAAATCAAAAATTGAAATTCAAAACCACGCCATACAAAGTATTGTCAGCACGGCCACCACCACCATCAAAAACAACGAGAACAAAAACAAAAAAAGATCAATTATGACTTACAGACGTAACAAATAAATCTACAACAAAGAAAAAAGCAACTAGAAGGAACACTGTAATTTGAGAAGAACTCCTAGGCTTCTGAAGAATTTGGTAAGCGCCATAATCCAATAAACGCTACAGCTGTAGCTGAAATATGAACTATATAAACTCGATAGTTTCTCTTTAAAAGGTCAAGCAAAACAAAGCTTTCCTGCCTGCTTTAAAAATAACAATTACAGGAATTGTAGTAGCTTTTGATTCCAAATTTCCTTAATAATTTACTATATACACCTTCCTAATATGCTGTAAAATAAAAAAGAAGGATAGAGACCTACTTGCACAAACCTAATTACTTAGATAAAAATGTCAGTAAAAAAAGGTTAACTTGTTGTTGAACATAGCTGTTCCCTTGTAAGTGACCCAGCTTTACTCCTTTCCTTCCCCTAATCCTTCACTCCCTCTTACTAACTTTTTAGATCATACAAAAATTTTTTTGCCTGACAAAAGCTAAAGAAGCAAAAAAAATCGACTGAGATTATGAGGTAAATTACCGCTTAAATTAAAACAATTGAATCTTAATGACAGCAACCACTTCTTTCGGTTAAAAGGGATCACAGTTATTTCCAAGCTCTACTAAGCCCCGCCCACCAACCAATCAGCTACCGGTCATTTGTCTAATCAACTTGGGTAAACTACAGAGAACAAAAAACTTTCAAATACAGAAGCCTGAGCTTTCTTACCGCCTTACAGTGTTCTGTACAACCTATAAGCTTCAGATATTCTAATTTCTGTAGCCCTCAAAACCAAACAAGAAAAACTGATAACTTGACACGTGTGTTATCGCCTTACAAGTTTTTAACAGAATGCAATGCACTTTTGATTCCATGTGCATAAAGAAAGATAGTTACCTCTTCCAATGAAAAAAAAAAAAGCCATAATATAAAGCAGTAAAATATTTTCAGAAAGAAAAAAGACCAGAAGTCATCAGAAAAAAAAAAAAAAAAAAA